TGCCGGAGTCGGGAACAAAAGTCCAAGGAGAACTCCTCAACACTATTCTACGATCAAGATCAGACTTGAAGGAGAACGAAAACCTCTCGGGTGCATTCAAGGGGACAGCAATGACATCCTCCTGTGTACGCCGAATATTCTTCATAGTACCAAACAACGCCTCCTTATGGAAATGCTTGGCTATGACTAAGCGCCCAACCAAAAGGAAACGACCAGACTTCAATTTACTTAGCTTCTCCATGCCTACAATCTCGAAAGCCTCTGCTTCTTAGATTGCCAGGTTAGTGGTAAATCCTTGAACGATATCCTCCAAAGCCTCCATAGTCCACTCTAAACCTCGCCCAAAACCCTTCATAAAATGTGATGCCAAACCCTAGAGAGTCATGAGCCTGTCATCGTCATCACTTCTAAACAGACAGGGAAGCCCTATGAGTAGGGAAAGAGCTCTCCACAGTAGGACGTGAGCACTAGACAACGCAAACCCTAGTCGCCAGACTTAGGTCGTGACAAAACCCTAATCGTTTCTCATTTACTTTCTCAACCTCATTTTGATCATGAACACCTTGTCCACTCTTTGGTTAAGGTCTTGTGACCTAAACTCTAAAGCAAGAAAGTTACTTGGTTCTAGACTCATTTGTTTTACTTGTACTATTTTTGGCTCCTAGATAATTGCTTATATCAATCCTACAAAACACCTTCACATTCTTATTTATATGATCTATGCTGCCAAGGACGGTATTGTTCATAGGTTTAAGTGGGCTGTAGCCCAGTACAAAATCTATAGAAAACTAAAGGGGGTCCAAATTTTATAAGCTATTTCTACTCCCCAAAAATTTTAGCCTACCCCATTTGCCTTTGTTTAATTTTTTTTTTTTTGCCAAACATTGTAACTTGCCTTTATTTAATATTAGTTCAACCTTTTTGGGTTGACTCCAATATAATAAGCTAATAAAAAAAATTCATATTGTTATTTAATAATATATCTTCATCCCACTTGCATTCTCTTTGCCTACTTATCCTTTTTTTTTTTATTGTCGAATTTTACCAATTTACCTTAAACCCTATTCTTTGGCTTTTGTTTGGCCTAACAAAATAATCCTCTGTTTTCTTTTCTCTCAGCCATGACAAAGTATCTCATATCTCTTTGAACTTTGATCAAGAGGGAATAGGATCATAGGTGTTTTTACTTTATTTCCTCTCAAGGTAAACTTGATTTTAGTTTTCAATATATTTGCTTATGTTGTGTATTTACTAAATAATTCTATTCTAAATATTTGGGTTTATATTATATGTATTTCTACTACAGGCATTGACAAATTAAGGTGAGTTGAAACTCCATCAACGCTGCAATTCGCTCAGGTTCAGGTACAATAAATCTTATTGTTTTTTTTTTCTTATGGATTTTTGTACAATAAATCTTGATAGTAGGTACAATGAATGTTATTTTTAAATATTGGCTTTATGTTCCATGGCTGCAGTTGGATTGCATTTGCATTGCTTCTAGCTTTATAGTATTCTTGTTTGGACATAATGTCACATGTTGATGATAATAGACCGACAAAGAGGGGAAAAACAATTGATTCATTCTTAAAAAAAAATGGTAATGATATTTCAATTCTGGAAGAACCTATGCATCTCGAACCTCAAATAGTTGGACCTAAAGAATTTGATGCTACTTCTTTAGAACGGGATTTAGGGAAACGCATTGCAATTTGTGAATACCCCATTAATCAACATGATGAGATTTGAAGGGCGTATATCAACCTAAACTTTTTGGAAACAGAGACATCGATTTCAATATTCTTGGTTCTCACAATTTCCATGGTTAGAGTATTCTCCTTCGTCACATAAGGCATGTTGTTTACCATGCTTTGTTTTTGAAAAAAATGCAATAAGTGGGTCTGCACAAATTACTGATGGGTTCAACAATTGGAAAAGAGTTAATGATGTGCATTTTTGCTTCATGTTGGAAGTCCATCTTCACCACATACCAAATGTGTAAGATGTGCTGAGGACTTAATGAAATCTTCTCAACATATTGAGAAAGTTATTCATAAACAACCGAAAGAGCAAATTTTGAAGAATCGATTACGGCTCAAAGCAACAAATGAGAGTGTTCGATGGCTTACATTTCAAGCATATGCTCTTAGAGGTAATGATGAATCGTGGTAATTTTATTGAATTGATAAAATATACAGCTATGAATTTAGTACGTAATACAAAAGATATTCTTAAGAAATTTTGATTGGATGGATGGGATATTTTCCTAGAAAATGTGGAATCATATTGCAAAAAGCATGACATCGATATGCCAGATATGAATGCTCGTTATAAAGTTGATACACGTCATTCTTGTCAACAACGTGATGATATTACCATGGAGCATCATTACATGGTTGATTTATTCAATGATACAATAGATTATCAATTGGAATAGTTAAACAATAGATTCCGTGAAGGAATAATGGAACTTCTTATTCTTAGTTTTGCTTTGGACCCTACCAATGATTTTAAAGCATTTAAGATTGATGATATTTGCAAGCTTGCAGAGAAATTTTATCTTGCTGATTTCACTGTTAAAGACTTGCGTTTGTTGAGGTGTCAGCTAGAACTTTTTGAGTTTGAAGTACATCAACAAGATCTTGATATCTTTCAAAATATGTCTACTCTTTTTGAACTATGTCAAGTATTAAATAAAACAAACAGAGCCAAGGCATATTATTTGATTGATAGGTTGGTGCGTTTAATGTTAACTCTTCCGGTTTCTACAGCAACTACAGAACGAGCATTTTCAGCAATGAAACTTGTTAAGACTGTACTTCGCAATAAGATGGAGGATAAGTATCTTGCAGATTCCCTTATTGTCTATATTGAGAAAGAACTTTATGTGAATATTAATTCAAATTCAATAATCAATGACTTTAATTCACTCAAGGAGCGCAGGGTTCAACTTCACTAGGCCATCTCATTTTTAATTTTTTTTCAATGTAATATTTGTTTGATGTTTGACAATATGTGTTTAATTTAATGTTTATTTATATAATTTTTTTAAAAGAAAAGTAAGCTTATAATAGATATCTCATTATATATATATATATAAAATTAGTCCACCCCTAAAAAAATTCATAATTCCATCCTTGTATTCTGCTATGCATTGTGGTGGAAATAGCCATCGTGCGATGGGATTATATGCTCAAACCAACGTCAAGAAGACGAAGTAGTATAATCGGTTTCAAACTGTCAAGTGCATTCGATATGATTGAATAAAATTAGAAGTTATATATTAGAACGTATTCTTATTATTAGGGAGGTGTGTAAGTGTAATTAGATAAGATATATCATACATTACCGTTTGTTTATGTCAAAAACTCTCCCTGCACCATTTTTCCAAATGCCTTAATTTGTGAAGTCAAATGGACAAAAGAAGACCAAGTACAAACTGTGAAAAAAAGAAAGTGTAAACTATAAATTTGATCACTGTTGTGGCCAAAAGAGATTTTGATATCTTTAATTTTGTCCTTTTCCTAGTGTGAAATGCCCATGTATTGTTCCATGTGTGCCATATGTTCTCAATCACCCATATATAGTTCTCTCACCAAAAAACAGAAGAAAAATATAAAATTCAGTGTTTCTGATAGACTTGAAATCAAGCACTGTTTAAGAGTATCAACAAGCTAAGCACACCTTAGCTTAGCCTGGTCCAAAAGCAAGAATTGAACTTACCAAAAGAGAAAAGCAAGAATTTAATTCCATAGGTTTTACTAGTGTAAAAGCACTAATAGATGTATAAAACTGCGTCAGTTGGTCCCACTTAAAGACCACGCAGATCATTGATCAAGTAAACATTACATCTCCAGACTGTGAATTAAGTGGATTCAACAAGAGTCTTCATCTTCCCACTAGGGCCTGTTTGCTTAATTCCAAAAAGTTGGAAAACTGAGTAAGCACTTTTGCTACTTTCCTTTTGGGCAGTGTGGGGCCCAAGAAAGAGGATGACACCATCACCTCAATAACATAAGTAAAAAAGTGCTTTTGTCCGACGCAGAATGATGTGGAAGGAGCTTGGTGACTACTGCAGCTCTACATGGAAACCCATATTCCCCAAAATCACTGCTGGCTTGAGTTTAAGCACTTTCAATTCTCATCCTCATATTCGTTTGTGCTTGTAGATTCATCTACGTATCCATGAATAACTAACACTACTAAAAATTTATTCAAATGATTATATGCCTAACAAGAAAAAGTTGAAATGCGATAATATTTGTCACATTCTAATTCTATATATCTTTTAGTAGTTTATTTCACCAATGTCAAGAAATGTGGATTGAAAACTATCTCACCAATTAACATGTATAAATAACGATCCATATGTACAATGCTGCACATAAACTAACACAAAATGCAAAGTAGCACACAAGTAGTAATAAAAAACGAAATAATATGCAAGGAGGTTTAGATTATGGATCTTAATTTTGAATGTTTCCTTATAGAAACACATTGGATGATAAAGTAAACACATACAAAAAGTTCTACAACCTAATTTAACCGCGGTCATGTACCATATGATGAGGGGTACAATAGAAAACATGTTGTCGGGTTACTTTACTTGACTATAATATATAGTCTGGTTATACCTTGTAACTGCATTCTAGTATCATAAAATAATTCAAGTTGTATACAATTGTATGTTTATCTGTCTTCTCGCATAATGAGAGAAATACACAGCCGATGACCCTAACAATCATAAATTATGTACTTAAGAATTGCTCATATATTTCTGATTATTACGTGATGAGAGAGATAAACACATAATCTCTACAGAGTTACTACAGTGTGTGAACTGAGTTCAAGTTATGTGGACGTGGGCCAGTCCCGTTTGGAATTTTGTGTACGCGTCAGACAAGCAATCTTTTGAAACTTTCGGTGTATGTGTGCATTTTTGGACTGTTTGTTCCCCCAAATACCTATATATAAGCACACCCCGTTTCCCACTCCTTTTACTCTACCTTTCTTCCTCCTCTTCTATTTTGTTTTCTTGACACTGGCATCTTGTTCTAACAACATCTCTTTGTTGGTCACATTTTCCCAACTGCCACAGCCCCCACATTAATTTTTTTTTTTTTCAAATTCTAGCAAATTTTGAATGGTTTTAACTTCTGGGTATTGTGATAGGTTCCAGTTTTGGAAGTTCTAACTAGTTATTGTAGTTGAAGTCCTTGTGCATTTTCTGTTTGAATACAAAGATTTGACACTCTTATAGTGAAATTTGAGCAATATCAGCTTCAGGGTATTGCTTCAAAGCCTTCAATTTTGTTCCTTCTCATCTTGTTTTGGGAATTTAAAGAAAATTTGTGAGGGGGGTTGGTGGGGGGTGACAAATCGATCATAAGAAGAACATTTTCAAAGACAATGATTCTGCTCTTCAACGGGTTCAACCTGTGGAAGTTTTACTCAAGTCTTGATAAGAAATTAATTTTTGATAAAAGCTTTTATTTCTGGATTTTCCAGATCTTTAATACGTACAGTTTGGGCTCATAGCTACAACTTCCATATCATTCCTCATTACCTTCCTAGCTCTCTGCTGTTATAATTTTCATATATTTTTTTTCTTTCAAATTGGGATACTTTTAAGAATTTGGATTAGTTAGGAGGAGAGTGGAGTTATGGGTGGAGCATCACTACCACCAGGTTTTAGGTTCCACCCAACTGATGAGGAACTAGTGGGATATTATCTTAAAAGGAAAGTGGAAGGGCTTGAATTTGAGCTGGAGGTTATCCCTGTGATCGATTTGTACAAATTTGATCCCTGGGAGTTACCAGGTAACCATTTAAACAACTTCATTACATTTTTGTCTAGTGTTTTGCTTTCTCAGAGATTGAGTATGCATGTTAGTGTGTGTCTGCTTACTAGTCTGAACAGAGGATGCCATAAAGATAGTTTTTTTAATTCTTTTTTGTTTATTTGAACTTCTTTTCTTCTTCTTTATGAACTAAACCTGTGCCAGCATCTCCCTTTTCTGATTGGGCATGTGGGCTTCTTTATTTCCAAAAAGCCAAGCTAATTGGCTTTAGATATTCTTCTGTCACAATTCAAATTAAATAAAGTACAAGCACAGTGAAACTTGTTTCCTTTCCAAATTCCAATTGGTTTTCTTCAATAATATCCATGAATTCAATGTTGGTCTTAGTAATTCTGGCAATCTGATATATACCTGTGTTTTTATTGCAGAAAAATCATTCCTTCCAAGATGTGACATGGAATGGTTCTTCTTCTGTGCACGTGATCGAAAGTATCCAAATGGCTCAAGAACAAACAGGGCTACTAAAGCTGGCTACTGGAAGGCCACTGGAAAAGACCGGAAGGTTGTCTGTCAATCCACTGTCACTGGGTACCGCAAGACCCTTGTTTTCTATCGTGGACGTGCTCCTTTAGGAGATAGAACAGATTGGATCATGCATGAATACCGTCTCAGTGATGATCTTGCTCAGGGGCCATCAGGTCATCAGGTACATCTGCAATGTTATTATGTTTGTTAGACAGTTCCGTAGCTGAATACTACAATTTTCGTTTTAGAGAGCTTTAGATACCTATTAGTTCAAAAAACTGAAGTTATACTTGGCATTTTGATAATCTCCGCAGGGAGTTTTTGCTTTGTGCCGTGTTATTAAAAAGAATGAGAATCCACAGAAGACAAATGATTCTCATGGAGAGCCCAAGGCCAAGAGGGTTGGAAGTGCTTCGAACACTGGGGAGGATTTGAGCTCAACAAGAATCTCAAACGAGCCCTTGAACATTTCTGATGATTTAGCCTCTCAAGCGAGTTACCAGCATAACGAGAGTCATTATTCAAGCCATGTTACTTCTCCATATGAAGTTAATCCAATGGCAGAGTTTGAGCCAACTTCAAGAGAGACCAACCCTGCAGACTTCTGGGTCTCGCCTGATTTTATTCTTGATTCTTCAAAGGTATTAACGCGAGAAAAAGAAAACGAAGAAATTTTGAAAGACTAATGCTCATATTCTTATAAATTTCTCAAACATTTTTCCTTGGCTTTACTGCAGGACTACCCACAGTTACAAGCAGCTATGCCTAATTACTTTCCACAGTACAAGAGTGCAATGGCATCATGGCAGTCATATGAAAACACAGAATCACCTTATTCCTCATACTCAAATTTCACAGGGGGCGTAACAATGGCCGATAATGCGAATCAAGTAAGCGACATGTCACCTTTCTCTGGACACACAGACTACACGGGCTATTATGGGAATGAGGAAATGCAATTTGAAGGTTTTGACCAGCCTAGTTCACTGAGAAATCCAACACCCTTCTGAAAAGAAAAGAAAGGAAAGAGCATTGTCACTCTTTCTTTTCAATGCAGGTTCTGAAAACCAAACTCCAATTTGTATGCAAGTTAGCATAGATGGGAGTTTGGGGGAACTTGGAGAACTTTGGTCGCAGGAAGACAACATGGTCATTGTGATGTAGGGGTCTGCCCGGTGCCGGATTAATCAACTAGAGTACAATGTATTGTGTCATACAGAGGGGATATCCAAGACAACGCCTTTTAACGTTGTTTCTTGGCGGTTAAAAATAATCATCACTCGTCTTTTACATATAATGGGTGGTTTGTGTTCTCTGCAGAAGTACTGTGTGGACTTTATCTGTTGTTTGGAGTTGTTTCAGAAGCTACTTGTAATCTTCCCACTTTTTTATTTTTATTTTTATTTTTATTTACTATGGAGTGTATTAGTATCTCTGGGTGACGATCACTTTTTTCGATTGCACTCGGAGTTGGTTTTTACTACCTTGCTGTGGTTACAATATATAGTGTAATTTTCCATGCCATGAGCATGTGGAACCATCTTTATGTATTTGATTCCTTTTCTATGAAACTAGAAATTATTAACTTGTCTTACTTCTTGCTTTCTAAATGGTTGATCTCTTTTAACTATTTCCACTTTTCATAAGGCAAAGAACTATAGGTTTGTAAGTATTCAAGGTAAAGACTAAAGATAGTCAGAGGAACAAAGAGAAAAGTGGATTCATGTGAACTGAAAAATAGTACTTGTGTCTCAACTTTCAACCAACAAAGTTATCATCTTCAATCATAATGCTCTTCAAATTATTGGAGTTTTCCAAACTTAATATTCTCTTGAGATTTAAAGCTAGTGAGAAAGTGCATTTTAAAAGGGTTGATAAGCCATCCCATTAGGAAGTTACATCCAGACACACCCTTTTAAACTTTTTGGTTGGTTTGTAATCAATGTAATTGGTGGGGGTCACCTGGGTTTTGGTGGATAGCTAAAAGAGCTTCACTCCTAGAATTTCATCACCAAATTAAGATTCACTTCCTATTGCACTTGATCTCTTGTTTTTGGCTGCTTCCAATCAGAATTACTTTATAACTTTCAGATCTTACAGCATGTCTTATAGTAAATGGAAAACTCAAAGGGTAAGGGACTCAGGGGCCCATGATACATTGCCACCACCTTATCTCTTCTAAAGCTTTTTTCTTTTAATGGTTAGCAATCAAACAATGGTTGTCTACAAAGAACAGGGCCTTTGTTCTTCAAAAGGAAAATGGAGTTAAGGGATCTCTTAAAAAATTTAAGTTGATCACTGTTCTAAAAAGTTTGAGTTTATGAATTTACAGATTGCAGGGGTTCAAACTTGAAATCTCATGCTCTAACAGGATCACATCTTTTTTGGTTGTGACTTCTGAAAGCAAACCTTTGTAAGAGTTCTGTGTTTGGATGTGAATTTAAGCTGGAATCTGCAGTTTAATGTGGAAATAAATAATAGTGGGAAGGGAAGTGCTTTTATATACCACACTTGGACAGAAGTGGTATGAGGGTGCTGCTGATGAAAGCTAAGACAGGCTAAGAGCTGTGCTCAAATTGGAGCTTCCAGTTTTGTTACCTAATTTAGTAGTTGGTGTGGTTTGATTTTGGGGCAGCAGCCACCCATCAGAATTTCAGCCATTCTTCTGCCTCTGAGGTGCTTTAGGAAACCCCAAACTGAAGATTTTCTTATTGAAAAGTGCAGCTCTTTATGGTGTGAACATTCCACCAAAGTAAAGAAATTATAACTTTAGTTTTGTGACAACAGATTTAATAAGGGCAGGATGCCTTGGAAAGGCCACAAAAGGTGTCATTCCAGACCCAATGAGTATCAAATAAATGTACATTTCTCTCAGCTCAAGTCTTCCAATTGTTCCCTGCCTCCCCCTTCATCACTTTCTTAAGCATCTTGATAAAAAAGAGACTATACTATTGTGACTTTAGGAATGCCATCTTAAAAGGCCTATAATTTACTCTTTTTCTATCCAAGACCCACCATTATTTTCTAAAACAGAATCGACCGCCCCCTAATCTTTCACTCTCAGCACCTACTGCTTGGAGCCTAAAGTATCGAATAAGCACGCCCTGCTACTTTTCCCTTGTAGTGGAAACAAATAAACGAGTATTCTCCACTTGTTTTGGTTGAAAACGAAATGAAATGAGGCAGCAGCTGCATCAGCAAAGTCAAATGACCAATGCAAATGAGGCAGGTTCCTTTCTTTGCAAGTCTCCTTCTGCAAAATTTGAGACGTTTGAAGAGTGCCTAAAACAATGACTTCTAATGCCACGAAACATGTATAGGCGAAAATCTTACATGTAACCTAGTCGAGGACTAGTACGTGACCAATTATTGTGAGAAGGGGGTTGTTTATTGAACTTGAGCAATGAGCACACCATTTTATTATGTTTAGTACAAACTTGCAATTTGAGGGCTACAATAAACTTCTACTTCTTCAAGGGTTGCTCTAGACTCATCCCCAAAAAGAGACTCCTTCCCATCTTCCCTCTTTGCATATGACAATCCTAATCTAGATTTGGCTTGCCTTAAATCACCAATACCCGAATTAGTATCCGGACCTGCAAACCCACCCATAACCGGAGCTAGAGGTGGCCCGATAAGCAGACCATCGGCCCCAAATTGTGGCCCGCCCCGAGCATAATCGAAAAGGGCTGCCCCACTGCCTCCTACTTTGGGTAGAACAATTGGGTCAGCTATTTCATTATCTGTCCAGTAGAAGAGGAATGCATCAAAAGTGTCATAGTAATCATCTGTGCTTCTGTAGCCTTCAGGGTTGAATGCCCCAAACTTGAAGGACTTGTTTGTGTAGCCAATTATGGCGCATGGCCCCTTGAAGTCACAGCAGTTGTGGAAATTAGCTGCACTAAATCCATCAATGGTGGCCTTATAGCAACACTTCAATTCCCTACCTGCTCAAAATCATTTCAAGTCTTGAAGCGTAAGGACCCTATGATTGGATCTGTTTTCATACTTTTGATTAATGATTAGTGATGCATGTGAAATGCAATTGAGAGAGAGAGAGAGAGAGAGAGTAAATATACCACTTAAGAAAGTTTTGCCAAGCAGAGAAGGAGAGAATGGAAGATCAGTTTCATGGTACTTGTTGGTCTGTGGCAATTCATCTTGTTTTCTCTTGCCTATGTTCCACCCAAACAAGCTACATGGGCTGCTTCTTCTCTTCCACCCATAACATACAGTGTGGTTTGAGAAGCAAGAAGCCATGCTCGGATGAAATGGCTAATTACTAACTAATCCACACCCAACAAACACTCATTCACTTGACATCCTCACAAATATTGTCAAGAGCTCAAGTATCTTATCCTTATATTTTCTCTACCCCACAATTGATATTTGTCAACTATTGGTTTTATTTTTTTAGAGTCAACTCTTTTTTTTTTTTTTTTTTGACAAATCATCATACTTATATGTGGAAACCCAGTTTGGCTATATCATTATTGTGCATCATATTCAAGCTCATCCAGAATTATAATTTATGTAATTCGAATTGTAAATAAAAATAGTTATTAAAATTCTTGATGGGCCTATAATATTATTGAAGCCCATGAAGCAAAGAAGCAAAAGCCATATTTACAGTTAGTTTGTACGATGGTATCACAAATGGGTCCATAATTGTAAATAAAAATAGTTATGGTATAACAAATGGGTCCATAGCTCAGTGGTAGAGCATTTGACTGCAGATCAAGAGGTCACCGGTTCGAACCCGGTTGGGCCCTTAAAAACCTGTTTTTTTTTTTATGCTTAATTCTTCCAAGTCATTTAGCTGCACCAGATTTTAAACTGAATAATTGAAGTGCAAATTATTTTTTACAATAACCACAACAGAACCTGGAAAATGAATAATCTGATCAAAACAATAAGATTTGATGCCTTTGGCTTCTGTTATTTGAACTAAATTATTATTATCTGGTATGAAGTTATGAATGAACATTTGTCCGTAAAGAAGACAGGTAAAAATATGTCAAATAGTTTCATTTGACAATAAGCCAGACACTGCCAATAAACAAGACATAGCAAAATACTTCTACAACTTTTACTATCAGTCTGCACCATGAGAAGGCAGTTGATTTTGAGCAGGATTCACTGGTGGCTTCTCACAAGTCACAACAATATCCTCATCTCCATGTTGATACTCTTTGAAGCATGCAATCCTTCCCAGTTCTTCAACTTCAGCAATAACATTGTCAAGCTTTGCCACAGTCTCCACCAGCAAGGAAGCAAAAGCTGCAAAAGGAAGTGCTTCTGAGAACTCAAGGCCAGTGATATCAATTTTGCTCACCTGGGGCCTCAAGAATTTCCTCTCCGGCTCCTTTGACTGCTCGGTTGCCCTCTTGTTTTTCCAGTCGCGCAATGCTGAGCTGTCGGTTTTCACTCTCGATAGTGAGACTCCTTGCTTTTGGGTGGCGTGAGCAGCTGCTAGAGCAAGCATGTTGGTGGCCTGGTTGCTGTTGTTGCCTAGGAACAGTCTTGGTTGTGATTTTATGGCAGTGTTAAGGTCTTGCAAAGCTTCATGGAGATGATCGGAGAGTATCTCGGGGGAGCAATGGCGACGATTTCTAATACTGCTGGCAAGTTCCCTTAGCCCTTTCGATACTTCTCCCGCAAGTCGAATGCAGGGGTCCTTGAATAGACCTCTAACAGATCTTGGTGTCTGCAAGAGAAATTCCCCAAAAAAAACCTCATCAATAATTAAGAAAAACACAGCAAAAATGAGATTCCCTTTTTGGCTGAAGCATGTGAAACTATTTTCCAAATCTGTGATCTGTCATAACAAACAAGAAGCATGTGACAGATTTTCTTATTCAGTATGAACTAATTATGAGGTTCTCTGACTCATAATCATAATTCATAACCATCATCATCCTTTAGAATTTTGTTTTTTTATTGGTCTCTTGGAATGAATATATTACGTATCATATGTATTATTAGAAATTTTTTTTGGGGCATGCATACCATATTGTCTGTTTTAGCTGAATAGATCCATTCAAGTTTTACCTGAATTTCGGTTCGCAAGCATCCATGTAGAGCAACAACTGTGTAGCCAAAATGGCGAAGAACGTTTCCCAACTTCACGTACCGCTGCCATGGAAATCTGTAGCAGTGTCTTGAGTGCCTTGGTTCCCAACTTGCATGTAGCGCCTGCTCATATTGCAACAACAAAAACATTCAAGAGGTAGAGAAAGACTCGGTGTCTATCCAAGACATCGAATTTAATAAATAAATTAAACCAAAAAGATTTCAAAGGACCTACCATTGTTTCGTCCATAGATTTTGAGTCCAAAACAGCCTTATAACCGTCATATATGGGATCCTCCGTCGATTGGTCTCCGGATACTTCTTTTTCTGCATCGCTGAAGTATTCGTTGACACAAGCTGCAAAATCAGAAGCTACTCATTACTTGTATCATTGGCATAATCATATTAATTTGAGAAGTTATTTAGGTTAGGATTAGAAAGTAAAGACATACTAATAAGCAGCTTTGCATACCTTCAATAGCTCTAGCTAGGCCTTCAAGCTTGAACACTGTAGACTTATGGAGCTCTTCTCCAGACCAATTTGGAAATACCAGTAGACTCATTAGCAGGCAGACACCACAGCCTATGGCAATGGTGAAGAAGCGCTCATGTGCAATCTTCAGGACATTGTCGACGCGGTAGCTTGACACGGTTATCAGGTTGAAGGTCAAGAGAAATATCACAATTCCATAGTCATAGTTCTTCCTAATATAAGGAAAGAACCTCATGTATGTAGCTGCAGATCCTGCCAAATCGAAGAAGAAAAAAAAAACAAAAGGAAAAGATGGTATTAAACTAGTGATTTTTTCTCTCTAATGTCAGAGGGAATACATAATAGCATGAGGAACTGAAAATTTAACGAATGAGTAAAATTTAGATTGAAAAATTATGCTAAAAGAACTACGATAGATTAACATAAACGCCAAGGTCCACTTTTTTAGCTCTCTAGAAAATGTCTAAACGTTGGTTAGCTAATAAAGATGAGCTTACCTATCAGAAAAACTGCAGCTCCGATGAAAACTGCTCGAGAAGTCCGACCAGATTTAGTTGCAACATACTCAATGAAAAATGCCAATGATCCAGCTATCAGTGTTCCCAATCCTCTGTTGAGTCCTTTGCATAAAGTTGCCCCTATTTTCAAAGAGCAACAAAAACATCAGACATATGTACTTTTGTTCATCACATATGTATCTTAATTAAACCAAGCATAGACTAATTTGTACCTGACAGCTCTAAGTCTAATAAATAAGATTCAAAAAAAGTTGAGCAAACTAATAACCTGCAGTGAACTCTAGCACAACAACCACAGTCATCACAGCCCAAATGGCATTCTGGCCAATCCCAACAAACAGCGGCTGTATCAGGTACAACAAGGAAACCAGTGTCAAAGACAAGCCAACTTTCAAAGCATGGATCACCCTTCTCGGGTCCTCTCGTCCCACCTTCCACACTGTCTGCCAAACCAAACCCGGAAATCGCCTCATCTTATCAAAAAGAATTTTCAAACTCTTTTCTGCATTCCCTTTACTTTTGCCAGAATTAGTGTCATCCATTTCCATGCCTGCATGAACTTTGGGAAACATATAGGAAATCCCCCAAAAAAATTAGAGGACACACAAACTGAAAATGGTGGAGGGAATTGTTGTGGAGAAATTGGCAATTCTAATGCAATAGAGTGATCAGATGATTCTGATAACTATATTTTGATACACACATACATACATACATATGTATATGTGCATATGTGTGTGTATGTGTATATATATAAAAATTCAGTTTAAGGAACAAGACCATGCAGTCATAATTTGGGAAGTATTAAAATAATGGCAAGTATATGCTTTGGCTGGCCGGTTGGCTGGCTGGCTGGGAGTTTTTGTTGTACCATGCAGAGAACCCCAACTTTCTCTGATACATCTTAGTGTTGCTTTATATGGGGTGTGAAGGTGAGATTGGTGACTTTTGCTACAATTCACATGCCTAGCACAAAAGTGTGCTCATATTAATTGTGGGTTGCTTTCACATGTGGTAAGAGTCAATACACAATAGAAAACCGATTTCCCCACTGACTGTCAACCCTGATTAGAGGTTCCTATAATTCACTTTTTTTTTTTCTTTTATACAGGCGAAATTGAGGCGAAATTGAGGGAGGGAGAAATCGAAGTGCAGGGATAAATGCTCTTAACCACTTGAGCTACAAGCCCTTTCTCATATTCACTCTTTTTTGTTGCATAAGAAAAGAAAATTCATTTTCACTTTTTGGGCATGGGGGTTGACTGACTGACACATTTACCACTCAACAAAGTTTAAAATTTGTATTGAGCATATACCTTCTTAGACTTAAACCCATTGTCCATCATGTCCATATCTCAACTGTCAAATTATAATCTCATACGCATATAAATTAAGATTAATAAGATTAACCTTGAACTTTTTCTCTGCATAAAGATGTCATCCAAATGAAACCCCAAAATTGTTTAGCAGAATCTAAACTTGTTTATTAATTATCAGCATCTGCTTTATTAGCAAAGAAAACAAATATCAAAACTAAAGTTAATTACTTTGTCTTCATCAAAACAAGGGGTGTTAGTACAAGATCTGATGTTCTGTACCGATTGTTTGTGCAAAAATCCTCTCGGGAGAATATTCGCTTGTGGATTCTTCAAATGTTGAAGTTTTGAGTTTGGTCAACGGTGAAGCGTTGACCAGTGACACAAAGTTGGTGTGGAAAACAAATAATGCACGCAGCATTAAAAAGTGCAGCTAGCAGCAGTCTTCAGGCTCACGGGTAACAAGTTATCACACAGCCAAGACTAGCCAGAAAAGGAAGGAAAGGTAAGCTTATTGTTAAACCTAACATTATGATTTTCTTGAACCACTTTGTTGCATGTAGGCATAGAGAGGCATAGAGAGGCATAGCTGTTGTTCTCAAACAGCTGTGTGCGTTTGATTTTTTTGGTTGTGGAAACATCTCTCGTGCACTCTCAACTTCTCAATGTGAAGCTTAGGTTTCACCACTTGGCATCTTCTAGCTCCTTCTCCTCCATCTGACCTGCTTCATGCCACCGGCCTATGAGGGCTCGTGGCTGATTTTTATTTTCTCCCTCTGTAATTTATATTTGCTTAGTTTGAACTAATAATGAGGTGAGAATTACTGAGCAAGCAGTACAATTAGCACCACCATATTGTAGCAAAAATTGATATGATTAAGCAAAATCTTGCAAAGTAAAGGCTCAAATGTTGCTTTCTTTTAAAAGAAGCAGAACGTCTAAGAAATCTGTTG